GAGCGAAGCCCACTCGAAAATATCCAATTTAACATCAAAATCCCGAAATTGCTCAAACCCAGCCCTCGGGCCCACGCTTCGAAATTCGACGAAACTCACAAAATCCGACAACCCATTCAACCACGAGTCCAACCATACCAAAATTACTAAATTCCGATAACAATTCTGCCTCAAAATCTTCAAATCTTATTTTCAAATCCCTAGGTCCAAATTCCCAATTTACACCTCAAAACATGTAATCTAGTCGGATTATTCGATGATAATTCAATATTATGGACTAGAAATGATCACAAGTGACTTACCTCAAGATTTCCCATGATTTCTTGCTCAAAAATTGCCCCAAGCCGTGTTCTTTCACCAGAAAAACGTGAAAATGAGCAAAAAAAACCAGAACAACGTTAATAATCCGATTCGGGTCGCTAAAAGACCCATTCCCGTCGCTAAAAGTTCCACATCTGGTCGCTAAAGGTGCGCACCAGATCCTGCTGCACCAGCAATATTTATTTTCACTAAAAAGGCTCTTAACTCCACCATACGAATTCGGAATTCAATTATGAGTCACAAATAATGATACGAACATAGTCCTTCAATCGAAACTCAATTCGGAGCTCGTTTGCTCAGTGCGATATCCATTTCGCTCGTTAAACAATTAACTCATGTTTCGCGTCAAAACACAACCGCGACTTGATGAAATTAGACCAAACTTTCCAAATCACTCCTATAATTCATTATTGAAATTTTGGAAGTCTCGAAATCAAATTTCGATCTCTAGAACTAAAAATGGACCTTTGGATCATTACATGCTTATGCTCAAAACGGCAAAAATCTTCCAAAAACTCTTCCAAAACTTATCCTAGCCTCATGGGACCCCGACCAAATATTCCAACATAATTCATAACATTATTCAATCTTGTTCAATCATCAAAATACCTCAAACAACATCAAATTACCCAAAACTCATCGAATTCAAGCCTAAGTTTCCAAAAACTTCCGAAATACACTTTCGATCAAAAACCCGACCAAACGATGTTCGAATAATCTGAAATTTTGCACACACATCACAAATGAAATAAGAAGCTACAACAACTATCGGAATTCCATTCCGACCCTCGGATCAAAATCTCACCTATCAACCGGAATTCGCCAAAATACTAACTTTGCCAATTCGAGCCAAATCCTTCCACGAACTTCCAAAATGCATTCCGATCGCGTTCCTAAGTCATAAATCACCTAACGGAGCTAACTAAATCATAAAAATTCCGATCCGAGATCATATACAAACAAGTCAACTCTTGGTCAAACCTTTCAAATTCAAAGTTTTCATGTGAGACTGTTCTTTCAAATTCCTTCCGATTTTCCTGAAAACCAAAACTATCGATCTACATCAGTCATAATACATCATACGGGGCAAGCCATGCCCGAGAACTGGCGATCAAAGTACAAAAGCTCAAAACGACCGGTCGGGTCGTTACAAAAATATATAATAGGGATGGTAGTCTGATCTCTTAATGCTCATTATGAATAGAAAGAAGAATATCTTCAAGTTGGCACAACTTGAATATATATAGCTCATGAGAAAATTGAGAATGTTTATGCCAAATACAAATTTGTTGCACAATGCTTTGTCTATGGTAAGCAGATAAATGACTTTTCTCTTACGGATTCATTAAATAGTATCTGCTTTGCTCACTACTGCAACATTGCAGGTGATAGCTTTAATTCCTCTAATGAGAGACTACGAAAGTGGGCAAACCCACATAAGGAAAGAATTCAATCTAATCCCTCCATTTCAAGCCTTAGAGAATCCGACTAAATTAGCGAATTCACCTCCCCAAAAAACTCTTTAGCTTTAGATATTGCAGTAGTTTGTGTAGAGCCAAAAATCTTTAAGGAATGGGCATATCTGAGGAAATCAAGGTATCTTTTAATCTTCAACAGTTAGCTGTTGTGAAGGGGTTGAAGGGATCAAACTATAACTAGAAGTCTACTGTCTATATTTCAGAGAAACGACAGTTGTGAAGTCCGAATTTCGATTATCGAACGGAGCCGCCGGCAAGAATTGCTTTGGGCGAATCCTCTGCGGGGATATCACAATGGGATACATGCTGGAAGCCCGAGAAAATCACGTCAAGAAGAAGTTCAAAGAAGGTAAATTTGATATTAAACCCCTAACTGGCCATGTACATTAATCAGATATTGTCAATTTGTCATTTGTGAAGCATCAAATAATTGTAGAATACAACCCCACCCATTACTACTTTGTGGAAATGAGTGCCAATTTTTGTACGAATGTATATATTGTAAAAATTGCTCATATTTTATGTAGTTGAAGTCGAGTCTCAAATGTGAGCTTCAAATGAAAAAGACAATTATTTAATCACCTCCATATTTCACAATTCATTTTCCACATCTGTTTAAGTTTCTAATAAACCATTTGGAAAGCTGGAGTTATAGGCCTAAGTTCTGTTTGAGTAATTTTTTTGGCATCTCAATGGGTATGAGGCAGAAGGACTACTTGTTGATATATGGCACTATATGTCAGCAGTTCTCCTTTTATTTGTTTCATTGTGTTTTATACTGCTTATCAAAGACATAATCTTCTCCTCCATTGTAGTTTGTCAAATGCTTCAGTTAAAGCAAATTGTGTTGAGGTCATCATTTAGATTTCATGTTACATTGCATTAACCATCATATTTTGCATGTCTTATCATTAACTTTGCACATAACACAAGAATTGTGCTTATATTTATGCAGGTAGAAAATTATAACTTGCTTCTAGAGCATCCCATAAAATATACTGATAATTAATTGTTTGGTCAACTTTTTTATACTAATGATGGATTATTTTGGGTTCTACCTGGTTTGGTTTCACAAAGGTGCTTTTGGTTGAAAATTGTAGAAGACTGTAGGGAGTGGCAATGGTGGATATTACAGTCTACCTTGAAGTTAATAATCCCTCCATTGATCAGCACAGAGATATGCGTTTGGACATACATCACATGTCCTATGAGGTGAGAACTGGCTTTCTCGATTATATGTACTGTCTAACATTTGTTGTGATGGTTGACGAGTATATGCTAATTCTCTGCTTTATTTTTATGGTAGTTACTACATGAACATGCAACTATCCCTGCAACTATGGGCAATGTGTATATGCACTTGAAGCGAATTTTGGGAAATCTACTTTAGCTTTTGTTTCTTATAGTTATCCAACCTTCTCTACTAATCATGTTTTAGCGCATAAATATTGGTGGTCCCTCGCATACAATCCTATGAAATTCATATATTTATTTTTTGATTTAATTCTTTAGAATGTGATCGCTAAATTTAGTCTGAAATAAAGACATATTTGTACTATATCATTTTTCCTTTGAAACAATCCGCGTATCGCGCGGGTACGTATATTAGTTTATTTTAAAAGGTAAACTCTTGTTACTAGATCTCTTACCCCCAACCATAAAAAGAAAGAGAACCCACCCCCA